TTATTACTGGATAGCATTATTGCTATGTTATTTAATGATGTAGTTACATGGGTAGAATTTTTTAGAATTTTCTTTGAAAGTTTCTTTATATTTTTGTGTTAATGATGCTTTTACAAACATAGAAAAAAATATTTTCCGGCGTTAATTGTAATATATTTTGTCTCATAGGTGCCATTATTTCTAATAGCCATTTATTACCAGGTGGTGGAGACAATATAATATTCTTGATCGTATATATTCCATTAGAAGTACCTTTCTCACGCGATCTGACCATCATAAAGAAGTGTTTTGGACTCACTTTTTAGAATTATTGTTTTAAAACTTTTTAGAACTATTGTTTTAAATAATTAAAAAAAATAAAAAATTTTATTTGCTTTTTTACTAACCTGGTTAAATTCCATAAAACGAGACATTTATCGCACTCTTTGGAAACGATTTTTTTTTTTTAAATCGGCAAAAAAATTTCGGCAAGAAATGTTTAAAAAAATCTCGAGCAGTCGGAAACAAAAAATCTTTTAAATATAAGGAGATAAAAAAAAAAAAAAAAAATTAGAATAACTAGTTAACATGATACTTTTGCTATATTAAACTGATTTTACTTTGGTCCCTTGTAATCGTCTAATTGGTTATCTCAGGCATGATTAGAAATCAAGAAGATAATTAATAAGAAACTAACTTTTTAAGCATAATTTCTTCAACAACCGTGTTGCAGAAGCCTTGAACATCCTAGATCAAGATATAATTATTGCAAGTTCTGTAAATGATTTCAAAAACAAACTAAAATGCTTTAATGAAAGACGGCTGTTATAGTCTAACATCTACTGTCGTTAGACTCATTTTTCTTGGTAAAACAAGAAAACAGCATTTGACTTATTTTTATTTTATATTAATTTTACTAACTTTTTTTTTTTTTTTTTTTTTTGTAGTTATTAAGAAGTCCTTTACGGTTTTACCACAGAGTACCACGTTGGAGCATTTAACTTGGAAGTTCTTGCCTCCTTCCTTATCAACATCGCTTATTGTATCTGAGCCAGAACTCTAACCACTGCACCGCATTATCTTGAATTAACATAACTTATCATTTATTAGCTAAATTAACATACATTTAAAAATATTTAAAGAATGCAAGTAGATTGATTTGAATTGCAGAAAATATTACAAGTTAAACCCTTAAAATTTTTTAACTTTAATTTTTTTTGCACTTTAGGATAGTTCTGTGTAATTTAGACAAGTTTTTCTACATGGTTGCTGTTAAGATTGGTTCGGGTCCAAGTGAAAACTTGCCCAGCTGCAGAAAAGACTCTTTCTGAAGAAGCTGATGAACCTGGAATGTGATATTTTTCCGGACAACGGATACCATCTTTGGATATTGTGGTGCCATGCTATTCCACCACTTTAAAATATCAGTTTATTTTACTACCAATGATGATAAAAGATGCATGTTTTGGTTATTTTATATCTGTTATGCTTTGTTTTAAAGAGTTTGCCTTGAAAGACTGGGTCTAGTATGTGAACATAGGTCGCTTTTTCTATGCCATCTTTTATATAGTATTTTGTAATTTGCTCATCTATAACTGTTGCTAACTGTTTCATGTATTCTTCATTCTTTTGGTCAGCAAGTCTGATATTGGCATAGCTAAAAGCACAAAGAATAGAAAATAAGTAAACATATATGTAATAACCATATAAACCATCAGTAGTTCAGGGAAATATGTTGAGTATGGATTTAACGGAATTCCGGCCGGAATTTGTGTCTTTTAGATCAATATGCTTCTAGCTGGATATAAAGACTTTTTATGACATGTGACTTTTACAACATGTGACACAGGCTGTGTGTATAAATCAAAAATCATTATTCTGCAAAGAAATAAAGAGTTATTAGTAAACCTAAGTAAAAAATACTAATGTAATTTTTGCAAATGTATTTGCAGTACTACTATTTCTGCATATAAAATTATATTTATATTTTTTACCTAGGTTTATTTACAATTCTTCATTGTTCTGTAGAATAATGATTTTTTGATTTATTTACACAGGCTGTGTTACATGTCATAAAAAAAAAAGTAAAAAAAAATGTAATTCCAATCAGAAGGGAAATAATTTAAAAAACACAAAATCCGGCCGGAATTCCGGTGCATCCCTACTCTTGTCTTATTTTGTGCTTAAGGTGCGCATTCATCCATAAAGATATTTTATTATTTCTGAAATTTTCTTTGTTCGATTTTAATTTAGGTATACATTCATTGCAACCTTTTTTGTAAATATTAATAAACTTTAAATAACTCTGATTTACGCCTACAACTTTTATTTCAATGACAAATTAAATGAACCATAAGTTCATTTAATTTGTCTCCTTCTAGCGATGTTGCATAAGTGTATAAACATTTTAAACAAGTGGGTTTACTTGAAATACTCAAATTATGAGTTGTCTGAACGTTTATAGTATTCCATTTACTTTGAGATTGAACCCTCTCAATATTTATATCAAAAACTAAATTTACTTGAATTGAATCATTGTTTGGTGATTTAATTGGGCTTTATAGTTTTTTCCTTGCAACCTTCTTATTAACTTATTGTCTATTCGGATACCTTAATAAAAATCTCTCTCTTTATTTTCATTATTTTTATCTCTACATTCTTATCTCAATAACTTGGATTTATATCTTTCTGTAATGTATTTATATATATATATATATATATATATATTCTCTTTCTGGATTGATGAAAACTGTTTTTTAATATTGAATTTCTTTCAAATTTATCTATTAGTATAACTATAAACGGGGTTTATTTGTCACTGTTTGATCCTAAACTTGTAATACTTGGTATGCTTACTTAAACTTGCAATTTGTTGATAACTTTATGATTTTGTCTTTGTCTATATTGTCTGTCTTTGTGTTGTCTACTTTATCTTTGCTTTTGTCTTTATTGCCTGAACCTTTTCCTCCAAATATTACAATGTTGTTTTTTCTCATTCCTTCGTTTCGCTTGCAACAGTATTTGTTATGAGCATTTGTTCAGGAGATTTCTTTAATGCCCATATTACGCTTGCGTAAGTAGTTTCTGATTTATTATTTTTTATTTCTTCAACTCTTTTCATTAATTTTTCATTATCACTGTTGAGTAGTTTGATCAAACTTTCTAACTCTTTTAGTATCTTCTCCTGTTGTGCTTTGTAAGTGTTAAATTGTGATTGAACACTTACCATTTTCTTTAAGCTCGAAAAGATTGCTGGGTTATTTATTGTTACTTATCAAGGGCGTAGACAACTTTTTTTTGATGTTTGAGCTTAGCAACTTTGGAACATAAAGAAAAATCCATATTTAAGTATATTCATATGTATGAGGAATGAGGATACTGTGCAAAAAATTGCGGTGATTGGTGACCGGGAACAACAAAACCCCTAAAACGTTAGCCCCCCCCCAGCCCCAAACAGGAGGGCAATAAGTCAAATTTGTAATTTTTATTTAATTTATACTTAATTTATATTCATTGTCGAATTTGATTCAATAACCTCTTGTTGATAGGCTTTTATGACCTTATAAAGTTTACAGCCCCCTCAACTTGAGGGGGTGGGGGGTGGGTGGGTGTAAACTTTATAAGGTCAAAAAAGCCGAACAACAAAAGATTATTGAATCAAATTCGAAATTCGTCGATGAACATAAATTAAGTTTAAAATTAAAAAAAAGTTACAAATATGCCTAACTGCCCTCTTGTTTGGGGCTGGGGGGAGGCTAACGTTCTGGAGTTTTTGTTGTTCCCAGTCTCCAATCACCGCAATTTTTTTGCATTGCATCCTCATATTTATGAACATACTTAAATATGGAGTTTTCTTTTTGTTTCAAAGCTGCTTAGCTCAAACATCAAAAAAAGTTGTCTACGGCCTTGCTTATTAAACACAATAAAGATTAGATTTATATATCCAAATATTTATATATAAAACTTTGTTTCTTAACTTTTTTAATATATTAAAAGTTTTTATTTGTTATTGTTTGTTTTTTCACTTAAAAAACGTTTGCCATCTTTAAAAGCAGCAAAAAGGTTTTTCTTCTCAATTCAACATAAAAGTCAAAATTTCCTTTTCTATTGTTTTTTTCAAAATCCGAATTTGACTCTCATTTAAATTTGGTTAAAAGGTCCAAATTCGTCTTACAGTTAAACTCGGGGTACAAATATAGCCTATATTCGTCTTCCAGTTAAATTCGGTATTTACACATGGTCCAAATACGACTTTCAGTTAAATTCAAATAAACCATAAACTATAGTTTTACATATTTAGTTAATTTTGTCAGTTTTAGTGACTGAAGAAATTACCGTTGTATTATGACACAAGGAAGACTCGATAGTCTGACAATCAATTAAAATTGTCTAGGTCCTTATTCTGTTAAGAATTGGCAATAGGAAGTATGTTACAGTTTTACCTTGAGATGGGTTACGATATATTCTATTACAAGAATAATGTACCTTATAAAATAATTGGAAGATTGTAATACATCAAAAAGAAACAAGCGTCAATAATGCGTCTAAACATTGGTTCATGAATACTTCTCAAGTATTTATTTTAACACAGATTTAGACACTAATTTATCTACTGTCGAGAAAACTTAAAAAAAATTTTATAATCAAAGTTGCGTCAATGCATTATTATTTAAATACTAGTTATCCGGACCCATAAAATAAGGGTCTTGGTATGTTTATTCTATACCTACCATTTCTATACTTATTCCCTTAGTTCAATCTTTTTTAGTAAGCGGTAGAAAAGCTATACATATTGTTTACCTTATTAATTAATAGTTATTAATAAGGTAAACAATATGTATAGCTTTTAACCAACAAAACTAACAACTAGTTTAAAAACTTTTAATTACTATAATTAACTATAACTACAATCAACTGTAAACTGTAGTTAACTGTATCTAAACTGTAATGGTATTTAGCTTAGAGAGAGAGAGAGAAAGATTAGAGTTTTAGAAAATTTTGGGAGAAAGAAATAAAGTATATAAAATTAGAATATATTTTTTCTTTATTAAATTATAATAAAACGAAAATTAGGCTTTGCTAAATTTGCAAATAAATCCAAAAAGACTATTGCAATTGCTATCATTCCAGCCGTCAGCATTTGTTTCCACGCACTCATCGTTGTTATTTCTTTGGTTGTTTGGTTCGTTAGCTTTCCAATTAGAGAAAAGTAAAGATGTGCTATCAGACCACATAAACTTCCTCTGATTTTGCAGAGCATTCAGACCTGTTAAGTAAATAAATTTCAAACAGTTTTACTGGAATAATAACTCAAAAATAATTTCTAAACCAAAAATCAAAAGCGTACCTATCCAGTAATGATTGTTTTTCATGTTATCATTTTTAAGTTGGTTTAGAATAAATAAATTTTCTTCTTGATCTGTTACACCTAATAAAGTTCCACCAAAACTCTGACATGTTGAAAGAGAATCTTTCCAATTTTTTCCTTGAAATCTTCCAGTTACAGTGTTAAAAAGATAACAATGACTTCCATACTTTAACCAAGAATATAAACATTTACCACCATTACCTATGAACCAATATTACAATATACTATTACTAATATAAATCAATAACCTAAGTTTTAATAATGTAAATCAATAGCAACCAGGGATGCAGAGCCCCAAATAGGTTTCCAGATTTGAAAAAGTCAGAAAATAATGACTTCTTTTCAAAGTTTTTGGTATCTAGGGGTCAATGTTATAAAACTTTTTATCGGCGTAAAATGTTACCGGCGGATTTTTTACTCTGGAATTTTTACAGCCGTAAATTTAGAGACGTAAAATGTTTTTTCATTTAATGTTATAAAACTTTTATCGGCGTAAAATTTTGAAGATATCTATGCTCTGAATTTATTTTCAGAAATCTACTGTCCAAATCAATAACATAAAAGGTTGTCAAAAACAAAATGTTTTTGAGTTGAAAACATCAAAGCTAACAAAAATTAACTGTTTCTTATGGATTTGGACTTTGACTGTTTTGATTCTGATGAAGAATATTTTGTTGCTTTAGAATATTTGGCAAATCAGAGACAACCGCGAAAAGTAAAACTGTTCAAACAGTATTTAAATTGTTTAGAACACAATTTAAAAGGAAAAAAAAAGGGATTGTCATTAATTTTTTACCCTACCCTATAACAAAAAATGTATAGCTTTTCTATAAAAATAATTTTTTTTATACTATTTTTTATATAGAGTTTTCTTTAGACCAGAGTTGTTAGTCCTTGGCCTTGACCTTGCTTTAAGACTAAAAACTAAGGCCCTAGGCCTTTAAACTTTTGGCCCTGGCTTTAAAGTTTTTGGCCTAGACCTTGATTGTTTAGGCCTTGGTCTTTATAATAAATTACATAAAGTTAAAGAAATTTTTTACGTAAAAAAAAGTGTTTATTCTTTTTTTTTTATACAAAATGATTAATTACGTAATTAATTAGGTAATTAATCATTTTTTATTTTGTAAAATTGTGTTGATATAAATATAGAAAATCTACACACATTTTATATTATACAATCTATACACATTGAAACACATATTATACAATCTATACACATAGAAAATCTATACACACAGAAAAAAATAGGAAAAATTGCATAAATAAACTTTAAAAAAAAATGACTTTAAATATTAAATAATTAAAAGAATTATTCACTAACTCAAATTCTTATAACAAAAACTTATTTAGACACAAATAAACATTTAAATATAAAACTCTTTTGATGCTTTCTGATTAGAATTTTATCCACAATAAGTTTTGATGTGCTTCCATACCATAGACAATATGAGAAACTTTGAAAACAAGTTGCACATAATGTCTAAACACTTTGTTAGTAAGAAGAAAAATTTTTGATGTATTTTGTTATCTGACTTTATCAAAAATATTTGAGCTCATACCATATTCGAACATCAAAGATAATTTCTAGAACTTTAATAATTCTGTTTATAGTTTGACCACTTGTTTTACTATTTCGAATTTCAAATAAACTCCGCATAAATTTTAAATGGAGAAACTTCTTTTGCCTGTCCATTTTGAGTTTGTCTAAAAGTAAAGTTGATCTGATTTTTGGATCAATAAATAGTCCTAATAAATCTAGCATAAGTGCATTTTTCTAATTAGCTCAATAGCAAACGTTGGAAACACTTTAAATTCCTTTTCAAGCACTTTAAATTCTTGATAGTTTTCTTTCAGGCTCCAATGCCTAAAAGAAAATTTGTAAAGTTAATCTAAAAAGTTAAATTTGTTTATTAACTTTCATTCATGAAAACTTATATACATACATACAAAAAAAATTGCTTATAAATATTAAACTTTTCTTCAACTTTTTATTTATAACCCTAACTCTGAGTTCAATTTATCTAATTTTTTTTCATCTTTTCTAATGTGTTTTAATATTTTTTGTGAAATTTAATAAGTTTAACAAAATATATTAACTCACAACAGAAAAGAAAAAAATTAGATAAATAGAAGCAGAAATGCAGAAAACAAAAATTAGCTCCTATGGGAAGGGGCGCAATTTGAATTTGACCGTTTTAAATAGTTTGTATGCCATTTTGACATAATAGTAACATGCATAAAAAATTTCACTGTAATCCGTCCACCCGCGCAGAAATCAATTTTTGTGACTCCCATGGAAAGGGGCATAAGAACCAAAGCTCCCAGATGCTTACTAACTAATTTGGTATCAAGGCAATCCATAGATTTGTACCGACACCATTTTAGCTACAAAAATTCATTATGTGTATATATACAAACTTTCATCTGTATACTCGTATATGGGCTCCTTATAAAAAACTACTACCCCTAATATTTTTGTTCCTGGATCAAATTTTCAAATATAAACTTTTTACTTTGTCTAAGCACATCATGAGCTACCTCTGGTAAAAATTTCAACTTTCTAGCTACCCGGCAAGTTAGAAAATTAGTGATGAGTGAGTGAGTGAATCAGTGAGTGAGGGCTTTTCCTTTTATGCTATAGATTTATAAACAAAAAAAAAAGGACTGAAAAAATAAGTTATTTCTGCCTTAACAACTTAAATGAAAATTTTTAACTTGAAAAATAAAAATTTAAAACAAATTTATAAACAAATTCATTAACAAAAAAAAAAAAAAAAAAAAAAACTGGAAAAATCTGACCTTTATTTCAAACGCAATCAGGCTTGAGATAAACTCACCAAAATCACAAAACACCGACTTAAATGAAAGCAAATTATAAACTTGCAAAATTCATTTAAAGGGTTATGCAAAATTATAAAGTGCTTTATTTAACAATAAATAAATGCCATTATAATATTACAGGTTTTCACACATTTTCAGGTACATTTTCAAAATCCTCTAAGAAAGCTGTATAGGAATTAAAATACAGTATTAAATTGTAATTAAAAATGAAATGACTAACTGGCTGAAAAACATAAACCAAATCAGTAACGTTTTTATTTAATAAATGCTAGTTTTTTAAATTGTTAAAAAATAAAAATTTTATTGAAATTCGTCTACCCATGCAGAAAACAAAAACTAACTCCCATGCGAAACGGGCACAATTTGAATTTGACCGTTTTAAATAGCTTGTATGCCATTTTGACATAATAGTAACATGCATACAAAATTTCACTTAAATCCGTCCACCCGTGCAGAAATCAATTTTTGTGATTCCCATGGGAAGGGGCATAAGGAGAAAAGCACCCAGATGCTCACTAACTAATTTGGTATCAAAGCAATCCATAGATTTGTACCGACACCATTTTAGCCACAAAAATTCATTATGTGTATATATACAAACTTTCATCTGTATACTCATATATGGGCTCCTTATAAAAAACTACTACCCCTAATATTTCCGCCCCTAGGCCGAATTTTTAAATTTATACTTTTTACTTTGTTTAAGCACATCATAAGCTACCCCTGGTAAAAATTTCATCTTTCTAGCTACCCGGCAAGTGAATCAGTGAGTGAGGGCTTTTCCTTTTATATTGTAGATTACATTACATAAAATCTTGATATTACATTTGTAATAAATTATTATAGGCATACTACATTTTAAATAAATTTTAAAAGACTGCTTGCAGTCCACAGTAAGTTTTTTGACGTTTTTTCTGTAAACAATTAAATCGTTTAACTTGCAGACCAAATATTTAATGAAATTATTATGACTGTTTAAATAAATAACCCACTGATGGCAATTTCTTGAAAAGTACCTAAACTACTACGACTGGTTATGAACTTTTATTCTATAATAAAAAAAAACTTCAAAGTAAATGATCCAACTATTAAAAGCAATTTTGTTAAAAGTTATTCAAATTAAACTATAATTTTTATATAAATAAACTTTTTTAGATATTAAAACAAACTAAAATAATTACTATAATTTCTACCTTGCTCAACTTGTTCCTCACTTTCTACTATTATTATCACTCCTTAGTTTCTGCCACCATTCACTTACTCTTTACTTATTATCATATTTCCCTAACTCCCTTTTCAATTTTACTTTTAACTTTCTACAAAAATTCTAACCCTAAAAAACGGAAATACTTAGCACGAAAACCACAAAAATTCAACATAGTTTTCTAATAACAGGCACAAAAGCCTACATAATTTGTATTGAACACATCATAATAAAAAAAAAATTTAATGGTCATACTTTGTATAATCAATCACGCTTTTCATAATTTATCTCATAACTTAGACCATAATTATTGTTAAAGTGTTTAAACTTTATAACCTGTTAAAAACAATGGCGCATCATAACTTTTGAGAATATTGGAGTGCTAATTAAATCAAATGTAAACCAATACATAGGGATATCATCTTTGCTTACCATTCTCATAAGCAATACTATACCAAGAAACATTTTCATTTATAAAACAGAAATTGGTTTCTAAATTCCTACATAATCATTATTAGCTTTATTCCGGCATATCTCAACAAAATCTAGGTATAGCTTGTTGACCTTGGTCTGTTTGAGCACTTGGTTTGTAACTCGAGCATTGAACTGTTCTTTTTTATCACATGGCTTTTTTCTGCTACCTATAATGTTTCAACCTTTCTTTTGTTGTCTACATATTTTGTTAACTCTAACGGCTTCATTTTTACTGTTTTTACTGTCATTAACACTGTTTTATCGATTGTCACCACGGGCTTGTTCTATCCTTATTTTGCTAATACTATATTTTCTGGTGAGTTTAATCAATTTATTAGAAAGCAAGGTTTCATTCTGTTTTCTTACAACTACTTTCTTCACTTTTTTTTTCCTGCAATTTCCTGTGCATCGAGATTGTAAGAGCCTGCATTATTTGATAAAAAATTTGGCAAAGGAGAACAAATTTAGCAAATTGTTTGAATCAGGAAAGCAAGATGAAGGAAGTAAATTCCAAAGGACTGATGTTCTTGGAAAAAAACTAGATGAATAAGAGTTTTTGGAGCACTTAGGTACAGTCACAGTAAAAGGGTGAAACTTAATTGAGTGACGAGTAATATGAGAGTGATTTTAGTAGATGGCACAAGAAACTATAGCTCGTTAGAGCAGTGCCCATTATAGTATA